TCAACATTGACCAAAACATAGTTATGTGGAACATGATTATGTTCATTAATAAAAGATTAAATACAGCAAGGAGGTATAAACTATGAACATTTACATATTTCATGACAGACTACCAAAATATGTGAACCAAAACCTGACAGAATTGAATGGGAAAATAGACTTATACAATAATAGTTGGCAACATTCATTTTTCTATGTCCATTCAATATTTTATTTGCAAAAGTGTATAGAATATTTGAACATGACATAAGAAAATAAGAAACTTAACACAATAAATTGCATCTAACAGACATAGAACATTCTACCCAGCCATTACAGAATATACATTCTTCTCAACTACACCAATTTTAAGCCACAGATTAAGTCTCAGTAGATTTAAAAAGATATAAAAATCTTCTCTGGTGTGAAATTATGAGGCAATAACAAAAGGGAAACTGGAAAATTCACACAATTATGGAAATTAAACATCACCCTTTTTAACAAGTGGAATAAAGCAGAAATCACAAGGGAAATTAGAAAATCCGTAGATAAGAATGAAAATAAAACACAACATACCAGTACTTATGGAATGCAGTAAAAGTGGAGCAAATAGGAAAACATAACTGTAAATACTTACATTAAAAAACAAGAGATCTCAAATCAACTACGGCTTTTGGAACTAGAAAAGAACAAACTGTAAGTGAGCAGAAGGAAAGTAAGAAATAAGATTAGAGTAGAAAGAAATAATTAAAAAGCAAAAGCGAAAATGAATGAAAGCAAAAGTTGGTTAATCATAAATCAACTAAATTAACAAACCTTTTGCAAGATGGATATAAAAAACCCTCAAATTTCTAAAATTAGAAGAACAGACTTTACTATTGTTCTACAGAAAATGATTGTAAGAGAGAGTGCTAAGAACAATTTTACAACAGCAAATTGGATAACTGATATGAAAAGATTAATTCCTAGAAAGACAAACTACCAGGTCTAAATCACAAAGAAACAAAAAAACAATAAACTAATAACTTGTAAAGAGATTGACTGGTAATCAAAAATCTAACACAGACAGACTTTGGACCTGTTGGGTTCCACCTGATAATAGTGAAGTTCACCAAACATTTAAAGAAGATCCATTATCAGTCCTCAAACTCTTCCAAAAAAACTGAAGAGGAGGAACCCTTCCTAATTATATGAGGCTAGTTTTACCCTGATGACAAAAAAAAGACACTATAAGAAAACTATACACAATATTCTTTATGAACATTGATGCAAAAATCCTCAGCAACTTAAAATAAAAGGAAACTGCATCAACATAATAAAAGACATTTAAAAATGACAATGAACTGAGTGGTGAAAAGCTGAAAGATTTTCCTTTAAGATGAATGAAGCAAAGATGCCAACTTTCACCACATATTGTCAACATAGTACTGGAAATTCTGGGCAGAGCAGTTAGTCTAGGGGGAAAAAAATACATCCATATTGGAAAAGAAAAAGTAAAGTTATCGGTTTGAAGATATATCTTTTATCTAGAGAACTCTAAACATCCCATAAAGAAATGGTTAGAATTAATTAATGAATTCAGCACTAGAAGGGTACAAAGTCAGTACACAAAAATCAGTTGCATTTCTGTATACCGTGAGCAATCTGAAAAGGAAATTACAAAAAATTCCATTTAAAATAGCATTAAAAATAATATAAAATACTTAGGAATTAACCAAGGAATTGAAAGATTTGTACAAGAAAACTGTAAAACCCTTCTGAATGAAATTTAAAGAAGATACATGGAAAATGGCAACACTACTACAAAGCAATTTACAGATTCATTGCAATACCTCTGAAATTCCCAAAGACATTTTTTTTGCAGGAATAATAAAGTTCATCCTAAAATTTACTTGGAATTTCAAGGGACCTCAAGTAACCAAAACAGTTTTGAAAAGGAACAAAACTGAAGGAATCACATTTTGATTTCAAACAATACAAAACTACAGTAATCAAAATAGGTGGTATTGGTGTAAAGACAGATACATACACCACTGGAATAGAACAAATAGCCAAGACCAGTGGGGAAAGGACAGTCTTTTCAATAAATGATGCTGGGAAAACTGAATGCCACATGTAAAAGAATGAAGTTGGACCCTCCCTTATGTAAGTAATAACATTTACAAACATTAACTAAAAAATGGGTCAAAGACCTAAATGTAAGATCTAAAATAATAAAACTTTTGGCAGAAAATGTAGGACAAAAGCTCCGTAACATTGGTTTAGCAGTGATTTGGTTATCATACTAAAGGCACAGGTCACAAAAATATTAGATAAAATAGACTTAGTGAAAACTTTGAAAAGGTACATCATAATACACTATCCAAAGAATAAATAGGCAATTGACATAATGGGAAAGTATATTTGTAAATCACATATCTAGTAAGGGATTAATAGAGTACATAGAGACTCCTAAAACTCAACAACAATAAACCTAATTCAAAAATAGATAAAGCATTTTAATAGTTATTTCTCCAAAGAGGAGACATGAATGGTTGATAAGGTCATGGAAAGATATGCATTATCACTAATCATTAGGGAAATGTTAATCAAAACTGCAGTGAGAAACCATTAAAATGACTACTATCAAAAAAATAATATTGATGAAGATGTGGAGAATTTGGAACCCCTGTACGCTGTTGGTGGGAATCTATAATTCCTCTGTAGAAAACAGTATTGCAATTCCTTTTAACTGTATATAATCCAGCAATTCCACTTTCTGGGTATATACCCAAAAGGACTGAAAACAGAGACATGAGGACATATTTATCTACCCATTTTCATAGCAATATTATTCACAATAGCTAACATACAAAGGTAACCCAGTGCCCATGGATAAGCAAATATAGTGTATATAAACCATGGAATATTACTCAGCCATAAAAAGTAATTATGTAATATGCTACAACATGGATTAACCTTGCGGACATTAGGCTAAGTTAAATATGTCAGTCACAAAAGACAAATACTTATGGTTCCACTTACATGAGGCACTTGGAGTGCTTCATAACAACAGAGTATAGTGGAGGTTGCCATGGACTGGGGAAAGGGAGAATTGGTGAGTTGTTATTAAATGGATATAGCATTTCAGTTTTACAAAATGAACAACATCATGGGAATGGATGTACAACAATGTGAATGTTGTACAATTCACATTTAGTGATGGTTGTATAACAATGTGAATGTATTTAATACCACTCAAGTGTATACTTAGAGGTTGTTGAGATGGTAAAGTATGTGTTGTGTGCCTTTTACCACAGTAGAAAAAGGGGGAAAGTACCAAAACTTGTGTAAAAAGGTATGCATTTTTCCTTTGCCCTCAGGTCCCTGTATCATTGATACAGCACTGAACCCAGCATAATTATATTACAAGTTTTATATCCTGAGCCAGAAAGTGTGCAATGATTTATTTTCCTTTCCTGTACCTTGTTGCATTTTCTGAAGTTAAAAAATTAGTATATCTTTTTTGTTCATTAAAAAAAAAATTTTTATGCACTAATACCTTTTTTTTAATGTTGCAATTTACTTTGGCTTTCATTCCATGTTAAAATAATAGCATTTTTACTCACTATTGCTTTTGTACCAAGAGTTTTAACCTCACCTCCTAGAAATGTCTTGGAGACCCCAGGTGTCTGTGAACCACACTTGGAGAACTGCTGATACGGATTATAATATAAAGGTTGCCTCCTGAATTAGTGTGCTGTAAAACCTGCACAGTCTGCATGGGAATTGCTTAGATTTTAACATAGGAAAAGCAGGTGCTGAGCTGACTGTTTGGTGGGGAGGATGCTTAAAGTCATTGTGGGAAATCTTGTCTTTGGGGTTGATAATTATCTCCAAGGAGTAATCTTCTAGATTTCAGTTGGGAGTGCTGGGTAGAAGATTGTTCTGGTTGCTGGAATTCTGGGATACAGGCAGGATGAAGGAGTTGGGACCTTTTGTTCACTTTATGGATTTTCACTAAATTGTTCTGTTTTCTTTCTGTACCTCGTCCCTGCCTCTTACCATTCCTAGTGTTCATAAGTCTAGACTGTCTCTAGCCAAGAATTCACCTTTAGCCTCTGTGGTAAGGGAAAGAATAGGTACCTGTTGTACGAGGTGAGGAAAGGGCATTTAATAGTTTGTTAGTGTGGCCTCTGGCATACTGAGATTTTAATGCATTCTTTCCAAATCAATAAAACATGTGAAATGAGCAAAAATTTTCATTTGTCTATCATTTAATATTACTTGGTTTGGCAGTGAAAGTGTTACCGTGACTCCAAATGTGAAATCATAATTTCACAAATGTTTTGTCTAGTGTCTGCACTGTTTAATACGTTTGTATAAAATATTGTGGATGCACCTTGTTATTCAAGTTCAAGTTGTGTTTTACTAGTTTTCTATTCAAGTAATCGTAATTATGGCTCATATTTTAAAAAGCCTAAGAAAAGCAGATATTATAGCTGGATAACTGCTTCATGATCTTGATTCAAAAATTTGGCACACTGAAATTCTTATGGTTTTTTATTTTTTTTAATTTTTATTTTTTAAAATTTATTTATTCATGCATATAAGAACCGGGGTACAGGCGAGATGTGTGGGAGGGTGAGAGAATTCACCAGAGACAGAGCGGGAACAGAACAGGCAGACTGACCGAAATACACTGCTGAGGCGAGCAGCAGGCGAGACAGGAGAGGTCTGCCGCACCATGTAGGTATCTCCCTGGCAGGCTGGGATTGAACCGGCGCTGCAGAGGCTGCGGACAACTTCACAGTGCTGTGCTCAACCGCCTGTGCCACCAAGGAGGCCCGGTTTTTTTAAAAGTATTTTTAAAATCCTGCTTTTAATTATAGAAATTATTATAAAACATACTTTAGATTGAAACGTTTTTTCCATTTGTTATATTATACACTCAAGTTCCTCTAATTCAGAAAGTTTAGCATAATAAAAATACTTTAAGCTTAGCCATGGAAATTAAAGAAAAATATTACTAATTATTTCAGGAAATTGCAAGACCTAATGTGACTGAAGGAGAAACAGAAACATCAAATTCTGACAGGTAAGGAAAAACTCTACTGAATCTCTTGAAATTCATATATATGAAAAGATACTTTAGCTGCATTATTTCAGTTATATGACACAGGCTATTTAAATTTTTCAAACTGTGTTGCTTTTAGTAATGACTTAATCAAAAATAAAATGTTGACACTTTATTTTTTTGAAGATTTATTTATGCATACAAGAGCTGGGGTACAGGCCAGAGGTGTGGGGGCGGTGAGAGGATTCACCAGAGACAGAGTGGGGAACAGAACAGGCAGATTGACCGAAGTACACTGCTGATGGGAGCAGCAGGCGAGTCAGGAGAGGTCTGCTGCACCATGTGGATTGCCCCCTGGCTGGCTGGGATCGAACTCGTGCTGCAGTGGCTGCGGACAGCTTCATAGGTTGTGTTTTAACCACTTGTGCCACCAGGGAGGCCCCCAAATGTTGACATTTTAATACAACAAAAATATAGATCTTTAATTCTGAAATCTTTTAAATGTACATTTTATACATCCTTTAAATTATTATCAATAGTAAGTAAAATATTAACATTTTAGATTTATTTATTTATTTATTTTAATTTATACAATAGCTGGAGTACAGGGAGGGTGATGCACAGGAGGGTGAGAGGACTCGCCGGAGACAGAGCAGGGAGCAGAACAGGCAGACAGCCCGAAAGCACTGCTGAGGGGAGCAGCGGGTGAGATAGGAGAGGTCTGCCGCGCCATGAGGGAATCTTCCTGGCCAGCCGGGAATCAAACCCACACCGCAGAGGCTGAGGACAGCTTCACAGCGCTGTGCTCAACTTGCTGCACCATCGGGAGGCCCAAAATATCAGCATTTTAATTGCTTTTATTGAATCAAAAGTTATAAGAATGGGACAGTTACTGTAAATAAGTAATCTTGAATTTTTTTTAAGTATTTTTGTTCAAAAACCTATAAAGTTACATCTGTGGTGGGATATCAATATAAAAGTTTAAAAATTGAAAGACTGATTTTTGAAAAATTGATGCTCAGGTAGAACACTAAAGAAGATGAGACATTTTATTTTAAAAATTGTTTAATTGATGCAACTTTGGCCTGTAACACAGTATGTGATTCAGAGTTATGGGATTATACCTCATCAGTTGTGTGTCACCACACTAAACTCACTACCACAGTCCTCCACCCCACCATAGTCTATTAAGCTCACCGCACATTTTACTCTTCACCCTCACTTTCCCTCTCTTGTAACCTTAATTCTGTAGCCAGATTTCTAGGATTTGTTATTGATTTGGTTTGGTTTGAACCTTTGTTTTTTTTTTTTTTCACATATAAGTGAAACCTTCTATTTTGTTTTTTTTTTTAAGAATTTTTATTTTTTTTATTTTTTATAAAGATTTATTTAGTTATACAAGCAGTGGGTACAGTCAGAAGCGCAGGAGGGTGAGAGAATTCACCAGAGCCAGAGCGGGGAGCAGAGCAGGCAGAAGGACCGAAGTACACTGCTGAGGGGAGCAGCGGGCGGCAGGAGAGGTCTGCGCGCCATGCGGGACCTTCCTCCGGGTGGCCGGGAGCAGCCGGGAATGGAACAAGCACCGCAGAGGCTGCGGGCAGCTTTGCAACCCAGCGCTCAACCATTGCGCCACCGGGGAGGCCCAAAATCTTCTGTTAATTATCGTTCTCCTTATCTCTTCCATTTCCATTCATGATGTTGTGAATGGAAAGGATTAATCTTTTTTATGGAACTTTATTCCAGATAAAGATAATTTTTCTTTTAAATTAAGTAATTTACCCATTTCTATCTTTGTTATATATTTTACAGTAGGATACCTGTTTATCTGATGAGATAAATTATTATACCTAAAGAGCAAATTATGAAAAAATACCTTATGAAGAAGGTATATCTTGAAATTCACTAGAAAAATTATATAGCCCTTTCTTCATCTAGTATTTTTACTAGAATTCTGGTGGGATAAAGTTAACAAAAATTCAAATAAGTGGGAAAAGACAGACTAGTCACCTCTGTATTATACAGCATTTTCTGTAAATTGTAGTTTGTCCAATGAAATATGAACAAGACACAAATTATGCAAATATAATTGAAGAAAGTGTTATGAATATATGCATAAGGTATAATCCAAGCAAATGCTCTAAGAATGATTGAAATTAATGAGAGTATTAATTAAAATAGGTTGGTATAAAAATCAGAATATTTTGGCCATACCAATAGCATGTGATTACAGAATATAATGGATGAGTAAATTCACAGTAATAAAATTAGAAATGTGCAGGACCAAATGAAAAACAAAAATTTGCTGAGATTAAAAAAATGATAATAACTTGCATGATAGGTCATATTACAAATTAAATTAAGAATTTAATGACTATTTAGTAGAAACTAACAATGGGATTTGGTTTGGAAACTGACAGAGTTTAAAGTAAGGTTTATATTTTTCTATTTATTAGTATGACTTATTTAACCATTGCTATTGTTGGATACTGGATTGTTTTAATATTGACTATTTTAAACATTTTGTATAGTTTATTAAATTTAGGGAGAAGAATCAATAAATGTACTTAATTTGCTCTATTTAAAGTACTATAACTGTTAAAACCGTGTGGTATTGGACCATGACTAGTCTTTTTTTTTCTTAAGATTTATTTATTTTGGGCCTCCCCAGTGGCACAGCGGGTTGAGCGCCATGCTATGAAGCTGTCAGTAGCCTTTGCAGCTTGGGTTCAACTCCAGGCCGGCCAGGGAGAAACCCACATGGCGCGGCAGACCTCTCCTGTCTCGCCCACTGCTCCCCTCAGCAGTGTCTTCGGCCCGTCTGCCTGTTCTGCTTCTGTACCCTCAGTTCTTGTATAAATAAATAAAAATCTAAAAAAAAAAATAAGAACTGGAATACAGTCAGAGGCATGGGAGGGTGAGAGAATTCACCAGAGACAGAGTGGGGAGTAGAACAGGCAGATAGACGGAAAACCCACTGTGCCACCACGGAGGCACCCAAGATTAGTCTTAAAGACAGATTACAACAAAAAAATAGGAAGAAATAAGATACATACAATCACTAGAGATCTTCTTGGAAACCTTTTCTAATGTTTTGATTCGTTAAATAGTTCTGTTAACATACCAGGGTAAAAGTAAGCGCATAGATGTACTCACATATAACATATATGTACATATTAATATATATGTCTGTATGTATGCATGTTATATATTTCTATAGCAGTAAGTGTTCACTTAACATGGTAGATAAGTTCTTGAAAACTGTAGCTTTAAGCAAAATGAGGATTACTGTATCAGGTCCTCAAAAAAAAGTTTTAATATTAGCCAAAATTTTTATTTTTTCATGGACATTGCAACAAGACAATGTTATTGAAGACCTGCTTTTTTTTTCCATATAGATTTTTTTTTAATTAAGCTACTAAAACAAGAAAGGGTAATATTCCATTGTGTATATGTCCCACATCTTCTTGATCCAGTCATCTATTTTTGGGTATTTGGGTTGTTTCTATAGCTTAGCTATTGTAAATAGTGCTGCTATAAATATAGGAGTGCAGGTGCTCTTTGGAATTAATGTTTCTGTGTCCTTTGGGTAAATACCTACTAGTGGAATTGCTGGATCATATGGAAGCTCTATCTTTAATAGGTTGAGAAATCTCCACACAGCTTTCCATGGTGGTTGGACCAGTTTGGTACATATACACAATAGAATATTACTTACTCAGCAATCAGAAAAGATAAACATATGCATTTTGCAGCAACATGGATGGAGCTGGAAGGGATCATGCTCAGTGAAATAAGCCAGAAAGAAAAAGAAAAATACCAAATGGTCTCACTCATAGCAGGAATCTAGAAAACCTAAATAAGGGACCAGGAAAAAGAATAATTATAAGAAAGAAAAAATCAAAATCAACAAACAACTATGAACCAGAGACACATTATGGGGGGGGGGGCGGGGAAAGGAGGAATTGTGGTCAAAATAAGGGGGTTGCAATTGTATGGGGAATATAAAAATAAAATTTAAAAAAATGCATACATTGTGCAAAAATGAAAAATGATGTAAAAAATAAAAAAAATTAAATAAAACAAGGGTTTTGAACAAATGAAAATAATGATAATCACAGCTAAAACTAGTCTCTAGATTTCTCAGGTCTTCTTTTAAGAATGTGACTCAGGAGTTCTCACTCTCTTACTTAAGAGAATGATTGTCTCCTAAATTATAATATGGCAAGAACTGGGAACCTGGAGTTTTTTCTTTTTGGTGAGCAAGTGTACCTTGACTTGTAAAATTTTTTAAGAGCACGTCTTACTTTGATAGTATTCTAATCCATAGTATTATGAAAGAATAGATAATAAATGGCTTTATCTTTTCAGTAAACAAGATAAAGCTTCAGAGGAAGAAAAAAATGATTGTGATTCAAGTTCATTTGAAGGCATATCAACAATAAGTGAAGAAATCCTAACAATTTCGAGTAAGGAAAACGATTCTTATCTTGAAGATCAGGAAGCTGACTCAAAGAATATCTTCAGCAATGATTCAAATATTGGTGCAGATAAAGTGGAAAAGGAAAAGCCAATAGAACACATTTGTCGGGGAATGGAATTGAAGAAGTGCCAAAGTTCAGAAAACACAAGTTCTTGTGATCACATTAAAGATCACAATTACAGTGAAGCTAGCTTTTCTTCAAAGAATACTAAGGATTTGAGGTTAACATCTAGTGATGTTAGCATTGATCAGTTTTTGAGAAAAAGAGATGAACCTGAATCTGGTAGTTCTGACATTAGTGAGCAGGGCAGTATTCATTTGGAACCTTTGACTCCATCAGAAGTACTTGAGTATGAAGCCACAGAGATTCTTCAGAAAGGTAGCAGTGATCCTTCAGCAAAGACTGATGAAGCAGTGTCTGATCAAACAGATAACGTTCCTGGAGAAAATAACCCTAGCACAACAGAGACAACAGTAGACCTGGCAGATGAGAAAGAAATAAGTTGAAATTAATTAGTCATTCTAAATTTTAGCACACTAATGGTAAGAGTATTTGGAACAATGCTATTAAGTGAGCTCAGCGGTGCTGTTGTAGAGTTCAGAGATAGAAAAATGTGAGGGAAGTTGTTTATACTTTACCTATATGTTAAACTTACATTATAAAAAAAAATCAGTTCACCACTAGTAGCATGATTACCCTGGTTTTCCAAGAAGTTTTTAAAACATGAATAAGATTTTAATCAAAGTTAAGTTTGCAATGAAAAGTCCCATTTAATGGTTTTCAAGGAAACAACTTCGTTGTCACTATGAGTTGATTATTAGAATATTAGTTATATTAATAAATCTTTAAAACTTCCCAAAAGTTCAAAGCTAAAATTCCTGTTTACCTTTCAGTTAACTTTAAGGAAGAGATTTTGAAACTATGTACCTTTTGAGAATTTTTGATTTTAAATAATGGCTGATTGGCATTGTTAATGAAATCTTTCTTTTTGAGTATGATGCTGGTAAATGGAGCATGCTGAGGGTATAAAATTAATTGATCTAATGAGAATTTGGATGAACATTAACTTAATTTTGGATTTAATGTAACATTCCAGACTGTCAGAAGCATGTAAACAGAATATTTTAATCTGTGTACCTCCATACAAGAGTTAGCCTGCCAGGCTGTAAGCTTACCTTAATTAAACTTTCAGTGAAAGTGAAATTATTAAAATATAAATTTATATTTGTGCTTTTCGTCAGTGTGTAAGTTGTACAGAAATTCCTTGATATACAAGCTGTGTAAAGTAGAAACCCATTGTTGAAAGTCCTGTAGCCTTTATGCTTTCAATATTGCTTTAATGATCATCTTTAGAAATAGACCCAAAAAATGGTCTAGAAACCAAACCAAAGTGTAGTATAATATAGATACTGTAAAGCTGTAAACTGAAAACATGTCCTGGCATGAATTCAGCCATATTTAAGTGACTTTTTCTTTTAACTGTAAAATAGAAACTTCAACTGGGGCCTAAAGCAGTAGTGTAAAAAATCTGTTTGGCATAGTTAGCCTAATTTATCTGTAAGATGGCTGCTAAATTGACTTTTCAGTTGTTGGTTTGTTTTTTTAATCACCTATGGAATAACAGATATAGAAAAGAATAATATGAATAGCAATAGTTTGCTTTGAAGTACTAATAAATTTTATTTAAATGCTACATTTTTACTTAAAATGTGCTATGAATTACTAAATTTTGTTTCACTGAATGTTAAATGTTTTAAGTGACTATAAAACTCTGCTGTATATAGTAGTTTTTGAGTAAATATTTGCAATAAAAAATCTGTCCATGAATAATTTTTATTTTTCAGAAAATGGCTTGAGTTGGAATACCTTTGACATACTTAGAAATTGTATTCTTGTATAGTTAAGGAAATTTCATGTTAAAATTAAGGGTGTTATTTTATTCTGTACTCGTTAATTGATACATGATTTAGTTTAAATTGGGACTTAGATTTGAACCCAATTTAATCTGAATCTAAAATTAGTGTTTCCTACCACACTGGTCGTTCTCAGCATTTATATTGAATGATCTTTTTTAAAAATAAATCACTTTTTGCAAATACCCCTTCCATTGATGATACTAATTGTAATTTTATTTATTATTCCTACAGTGATTTATATGCATATGGAATGGAGGACTTAACGAAGAAAACCTAGTGATCTCTTTTATTTTGAGAAATTTTACCTCAAGGAAGGATTAGAGACCTGTTTTAATAATAGGAAAAGTAGCATGAGATTTGAAGATATACTTTATATAATAATTATGGAAGTTTTAGCATCATTACATTTTTCTAGCCTTCTGTAATGTCATTTTTTTGATTTCATGGTTGATACAGTCATTTTAGTTACCTTGAAATTGTTACTCCAAGGCCATTTACTTGTCCTGACTTTGACAAAGTAGGACTTGTGTGTGTGTGTGTGTGTGTGTGTGCAGTAAAAAAATTTTTTAAGTGTTTCATTTTTACTAGATTATTATAACACTAAGACTTATTTTTACTAGCTAAGAAGTGGAACACTTAATTTACCTATTTCTAAGCATTGAAATAGAAAAACGGTCGTTTTTAAATCCTTTTCTTAATCAGGCACATCTGCAGACTCTGTACACAAAGTGAAAAGTCAAGTAGAGGTTTTAAAGTCATGAAATGATTAGTTTTTAACTTAAAAACTATAAATTAAGAGATATTTCATTAAACACCTGTAGCAACAATTGTCATTGATGGTTGAACTACCATGGGGGAAATTACTTTACACTTAACTAAAGATAACTTTTAAATGCTTTTTAAAAATATTATAAAATCGCTTTCATTATTTTAAAGTATATACTAAGTATAATTTAGTTTTCTTTGATGTTATAAAGATTTGGACTAAGCTGTAATTGAAATTATAAAGGCAGATGTTAATGACCTGAAAAATTACTGATCACAAATATTATGTTGGATTTTGGTTTCCAGAAACTGTCCTGGGTACATTTGGGATCATTTGATTTTTTTCTGAAAATGCTTTTTTTTTGGGTAGAGATTTATTATTTATACAAAAGCTGAGGCACAGGCCAGAGGCACGGGAGGGTGAGAGGATTCACCAGCGACAGGGTGGGGAACAGAACAGGCAGATGGACCGAAAGCACTGCTGAGGGGAGCAGCGGTCAAGATAGGAGAGGTCTGCCGCCATGTGGTTATCTCTCTGGCTGGCCAGGAATTGAACCCACGAATGTGGAGGCTGTGAACAGCTTCACAGCTCTGCGCTCAACCTGCTGTGCCACTGGGGTGGCCCTCATTTGATTTTTTTCAAAGAAGGAACAGAAAATTGATTGTGTTATTCACCCAAGCCAACTTATTAAAAATTAAAAATTAAAAAAATTACTTTTTTCCCCTTAAATATTGAAGTATAGCATGCCATTTGTGGAAGCTGTAGGAACTATAAGCTATAGTTTTTAACTTTAAATATTTTAAGTTTTACCCATTGCCTTAAAACACACTTTAAATTGTTTTTTGAGGGGCAGCTAGCAAACTGTGACTCAAAATTGGCTACCTGTTTTTATAAACAAAATTTTATTAGGAAATTGCTATATCATTTGTTTACATATTGTCCGTTGTAGCTTTTACACTACAGCTGTACAGTTATCCATGACAGACCATATGGCCCACAAGCCTGAAGGATTTATAATCTAGCATTCTAAGAAAAAGGTTGTCAACCCCGCCCTCTGTTTTTCTACTGATATATCAGACTTTTATAACCCATTCTTTTATTTCACTATTTATAGACATTATGGCAAAGCTCTTAGTTCATAAATTTTATTCTACAAATTTTATTACCTGTACTAGAAATCTAAGTTTACATTTTATTAGATTTCTATTTTATTTCTCTTACCATAATACTTATGGAAAGCTGCTTGTTTCTGGGTGAAGTCCTAAAAGTTTAAGAATTATTCACCTAGTTTTTTCCCCCTTGATTCTTTAAACAAACTCAACTTACTTTTTGACCTAATGTGATTTTCATTCCAGCTCTTCATCAAGTATATCTAGTGTGTGGCCCCTGTGTTCCTGGCCAGTGAACTGTGAATGAAAGTGACTTATGGTTTTGAGCATTTAGTTATTTAAGACTCTTTAGAACCCTCTTTTCCATCTGGCATGGTGACTTATCATATTGAGATGGTGGTAGCTCCATAAGGATAGGTGACTGAAGGAATATCAACAGACCCATCATCTTTATTCAGATGATGATGAAGTGGGAGGGAGAAATAAGCATTTTTTTTTTTTGTTTTAAGCTAGTTAGGGAATTTTGTTTCTAAAGCATACCTTGTCTGATACAGGAATTAGTCCTCAAAGTGGAGTACTGCCATAAACAAATCCTGAACTAAAGTAAACCATATTGCATTGTATTAAGTGACACATAGCAAGGTTACATGAGGTAAGTCACTTTCTACTGTGGTGAAAGATTTGGTAAACTTGTCTGCAACGCTTAGAAGTATTGTAAAGGAATACTTGGAAGTATTAAGTACAAATTATATACTTAAGTTGAATCTCCATTGTAAGAGTTTGGATAACAGAATATTAATAGCAAGTTTTGCTTATAATATTAGATGCATTTCACAAGGCATTTTAAGAAAAAAAAGAACTCCAATGAGAAATGGTAGGATACTAAATGGTATCAAGAAAAGTCCAGAAAGTCAGATATTTGCTGCGTGGAAAGAGATAACTTCTCATCCCCAACCAACAAAAAGAATCTTTAGGCAACAAAGCTTAATAAATAAAAAAAAATGTGATCATAACAGTAATTATTTGACTTCTCATTAAGCTAAAAAGCCTTGCAGCCATTTGAAGTCTAAGAGCAGAGTCAACATTTTTAGAAAGTAGAACCAGAGCATACAGAGAGAAGAGAAGTGGTCACAGTCTAATCACTCACTCTGACTTGTAGCTACAAGTAGTGTGTTCGTGGCCCTGTCTGCTGATAATGGTGAGTAATTCTTATAAGTAAGATAAATATTGATTGGTTTATATACATAGTATATTTTCTATAATTCCTACCAAGGTGTTCCAAGAAATTACACTGTTGTGGAAGCAAAATAACTCCTTAAATTGGCAATTTTGTCTTGTGCTTCTTGTCAAATCAGGGGTAAGAGATTAAAATCTGACATTATTCAGAAGCTACTGCCAAATAAATTTTTTGGTATATCCCAGTGTATGCCTGTATGCCAAAGGTGACTTGTTCTTTGCAAAGAAAAGAAATGCAAAGAATAGAAGTAAATGTTGTGAAGGATTCTGAAATGAAATCAAAAACCAATCTAAATAAACTAAATTTGCAAAAGCACTATCAATTTCAATAGCAAGAATGAAATCAGGGCAAGCAGAAAAATATTTTCATCATTAAAAGGAAAAAGAAAGAGCTTCTATGAAGCAAAGTATAGCTTAATGTCAAGTTGAAAACATTTTTGACAATCCCTGGAAACTTGATCAATATCAATGCAAAATGAGAGAAAATTTTCCATGTCTGAAATATGTGTTACAAAATAAGGATAAAAACTATTGGATAGATAAATTAATTCATATTTTATTTTTAAATTTCATTTTAAGAATAACTTTCAAACAAATATTGTAGTACTTCCAACTTTTAAAGTGATTTTTATTTCAGATTTATGTTAATTTTTATTTAATGTTTTCCAATTTGAATATGTCAGGTAGAGATAGTGGTATTAAAATATATACTCTTGCTAGAATATATTGGTTCATAATAATAAACCATATATTTATAATTTTGTCTTTTTACAGGAAATTTCTTAAATAAGTAAAATGATTGTGTTTACTGTGGTCACTTATGATCATGTAGGTATACTTAGTGTTATGAAAAATACGGAATGATGATACTGTGTAAATTAGTGATTCGTGAGAATGCTCAAGAACTGTGATTCCTCATTCCCACTTTCTAAACATTAATACCACCAGGGATTGGAAATGTCAGTGCCCAGCATATCTGTTCATGTGGACAAAAATGGCTTAGGAAATGGATACTTATGTGTGTCTTCTACTAATGCCTGATGGATTCAAGGTACTCAAGTGCAGGGAAGAGCCTGTTGCATGTCTTTAAAATTGTATGTGTGACTGTTGGCTCATTGCTGACTGGAATCATAAGCAAAATTTTTGAAATTTTGAAAGTTGTTCCATCAAAGAAACCATAAGCCTGTACTAAAAGTTTATAACTGTACAAAACTGGAAATGACCTTTGGGTCCCAACCTTCTCTATCAGCTAGCAAATTGAGGAGTTACTTCATCCTCAGATAGAACATATTCCCCAATGTCCACCTTAGTTGTGGCCAAGAAAGATAAAGAATAAAAGGGACGACCTCTCAGTGGTGGGAATTATAGCCTTGACAGTAATGGATTAGGGATCCCCTCCCAGCAAATGGAATCACGGAATCGGGTTCTAAGCAAGGAATTTTTTGTACCACTAAAATAGAGGGTCCTGTAGTAGAGACATGTTTTGAATGAGAGACTGTTTGTGTGTCTCCCCTTTTGTCTTTCTGAGTGGAAATGTTTATTACAAGTTCATTTGTTTTTTTAAAAATCTCTCTTTTAAGATTTTATGTATGGGAGCCAGATAATGTTTTAGTTCAGGTCAACAGGTTAAGAGGAGATTATTGACTACCATCCCTTGATTTAGCAAGCAGTGGGAAATACTGAACTTGGTTCCATTTGAGCTTGATGTCATTGATTTACTGGGACTTTTGAGTGTGTACTTTGACTGTATCAATTAAAATGCACCAAATAACTGTTGACCAGAAGGGTAATCAGTGATAGTCA